TATTGAATGACTCGATGTCAAATTGCTGTAGTCACACTTGGTGTTTGACTCGGAAGTGGTAATGAATAGGTAAGCTGAATTTCATGAAGAAAGATTAGTTGTTTTTTTCTTTCATTGTAGATTATACGGAATCAAAAATGATTCATGTTTGGTGTTTTTGTGAAATTTGGCTTTGATAGTATCTAAAACAGAGAACCCTGTAGAAAGTTCTGGTTGAATTTCTTGGGTTTGATTTTAATCGTTTTGGAGGATAATTTCAGATTTGTCAAAAGGTGCTTTTAATGCACCATTGTAAGGCTTTGTACTGAACGTCATCTACGGAACCTTTTGGTGTGTTGATCGAAAGGGTATAGCACGAAACCTTTTTTTTTATAGGCTGTGAAACAGTTCGGTGCTAAACCCGTGTTTTCCCGAAACCTCCAAAAGATCTTCCCGTGTGCTCGGTGAAAGATCCTTTATAAGTTTCGTAGAATACCTTTTTTTAGAGTGTAGACAAGTGCAAAGTTCGATGGAAAATCCTATAATAAGCACTCGTTTTCAATGTCAATCATTACACGGTTTATTATCTTGTCTTTCAAAACTTCGTTATTTAACTATCGACTCTCTTATTGGATCAGCCGATTGTCATTTACGATTAAGTCCTATTTTATTAAAAGATTTTAATATATATTTCTTTTAATATTGATTCTCTTCATTTATATCAGCTTGGAGAATTGATTAAAAATTTTTTTCATCATATTGAAATCTTACATATCACCACAGCTAGTTCTTATTCATATTTACATGCAAAAACATGGGAAGAAATCACTCAATCATCAATGCCAAAGTTACGTATTTTTGATATTATAAATGAAGATGCAATTGAAACTAAAAATTTAGTTCATTATTTTTCTCTTCTTCCATTTACATTTACATTTTGGACACAAAAAAATGGTTGTTTGCAACTCCATATACTCAAAATAAAAGATAAAATAATGGAATATTTCATTCTATAAATCCATATCGAAGAAAAGATTATAAATTATATCATGTTTCTGATGGAGGTCTTTATTCGAGTCAAGAAGAAATTGATTTTAAGCCAGTTGAACATGTTTATATTTGTAATAGAAATGCAATTTACCATTGTAATGGTTATTTTCCAAATGCTACTGAATTAACAATTAAACATTCCTTTCATTTACACTATAACTCAATAATGAAAGTTGTTCCTTTGAACAAATTAAATAAATTATCGATCGAATGTTATGATTTTCCAGTTGAACAAATTCTTCATTTAGTGAATTTTACAAGTAATTTGCATACATTAAAATGGCATTCTTTATCGATCTATGAGACAAATTTAGCATCTATTCAACAGAATGAAACTTTTCGTTCGGTGTGAAGTAGAAATAAAAATAAAAATCTCGAACTTTCACAATGGTGTTCATTAGAAAAAATTCGTTTTATGGCTAATTTATTTCCTCAAGTTGAAAGTCTTAAAATCGGAGTCGTCCGAAAAGAAGTTCTTAATATTATACGATATTTATTAACTGAAAAGTTTCATTTGTCGTTTTTATGTATTAAACAAATATCAAAAGTATGTCTACGTGAGATAAATTTATTGATTCAATCAGGAAAATTACGTGAGAATTATTCTATTAAACTTATTGATCATGATTTATATTTATGGTGGTGAAGATTTTATTGTTTTTTTTTATTATACATTTTGTAATCAGTTTTTTAAATAAATTAGAAAGGATAGCTTGATTCATTAAAGTCGAATAATACGTATCGGGCGCGTAGCAAATGATGTTTGAAATCTTTAAAACATGATTAAATAGACTTTTCGTATCGAATGAAAGACTCAATTCAGAAGTATCCCATAGCCGATAGAGTTTGTTTGACTTTCTATCGCTTATTCCTTTTATTGACTAATTTCCATAGATACTTGACTTCTTCCATCGTCATTAATCAAATATAAGTCAATTCTTTTTTTCAGATAGGGGTTAACTAAAAAGTTGATCGTATGATGTTTATGTGATGCATATAATTCAAAGTGGAAAAAAACTTTTCATTGCAAATAGACTTTTGTTGGTATTTCTTTCTGAATAAATATTCGAGAACATAAATAGATGGACATGAAATTTCATTCGAGCTTTCTTTTACGATTGAAAAAAGCATATAAATATGTATGAAGAGCTTTGTAAATATTTATCGATAAGTTTATTATTGTGATGAAATTCTAACTTTGCTTTTTTTACAATAGCAAAACGGCAAACGTGTGCGGGTCATAGAATCTGTTTGTCATACTTTTAAAAAGAAAAACTGTATTTGTTGGTATTCTTGTCGAAATCTATGGGAAAAAATCTTTCAACTTCCAACTAATTATACTTGACGTCACTATTTCGAACGTCATAAACTGTCTATAAATATCTTTGCGCTCTAGACATTCGTTCGTCAGTTCGACAACAAGTGTAGGAAAGGTAACATGGCTCGGTTCAACAGTATCACACGATTCTTGTCGAGACGCGATCAGCGATCGGAAAAGTCGATTTCTGTAGTGTCTACACCGGATACACCACCGACAATGAATACTCTCAATGAAACGGATCATGAGTATTTTGCACCCAGTATTGATCAGCAAAAAAATGGTATGATCATTATAGTTTAGTGTTAATAGTTTATTCGATAATCTTCTAAATAGGTGTCAAACTTCAAAAGAAACTCAATTCCATGCTTTTAGAATTTATTGAAATGCAAAAACGACATGCCCGTGAGGATAGAGAGTGGAGCACAAAGTGGGAAACTTATTTCCAATCGAATCGATTCGCATCGGAATGTTTCACAACCACTGTAAAACTAGTGACAGCTACGACTTGCATCGGAAATGAGATAGCTGATAAATTAACTAGTACTAATCACACTCTGAGACGAAATGCGAGAGCTGTGACAGATACGCACCAATATCCATCGCTCAAAGAACAGCTGCAAAACGAAAGTAGATTACTCAGTAAATTTGCAGATGAATTGAACAAATTAAAACGACAAAAAAACGAACTTGAAAATGATTTGAAGTCTATCCATCTACAACTCACGAGAAAAAATTTAGATAGACCAGAGGAAACTAAGCTAAAGACACAACAAAGAACCAAAAAGAGAGAATTGCAACAATTAAAACAACAAATTGAACTAAGCGAGGAAGATCACACGGAAGCCAAACAGAAATATGATGAAAACAAAGAAGCTCTATTAAAAAAGAGTCAAGAGAACGAACTTGCTCGTCTTCAACTGTTCACGGATCCATTGAAGAAATTTTTCAACACTCTGAAAATTGAGAATACGGAGTTCAGCGATGCGTTAAACAGTCATAGTCCCGATAAGGATCTCAACAAATGGAGAGAAAGTAAGTATCCCCTGCAAATCGACACCGACCAATAAGAGAGTACAATAATGCGCCATTGTCTATGAGATAAAACTTCTGATCTCTTGTATTATATTCGAATTGCAAGAAAAATTTTATGATTGTACTACAATTGTGTGATAATCACTAATAGTTCAGAATATTTTTTGTAACATCACCAAGAATAAAAATAATGTTTTGAATTATTTTTTTAATGATCACGTTCTTAGACATTTGAGAATCCGAAAAATTTGAGTTTTGGTTTTGGCCCAAAACCAAAACTATATCAACATCATGGTGGCCAGATCAAAAATTGAAAAATCAGAAGCTATTTTTTCAAAATCAGAAAACGATCAGAAGGATGTGGGTGTCATGTGGGTGGGTGTGTCACTGACATGATAACGCCGCACCCACCTCAAGCCACAGCCACACACCATCAGGCACTTTTGCGACATGAATGTACTTATCTGACGATCGAATCTGTTTCAAAAGATATGGTTCATTTAAAAGATAATCATAGAATTGTGTGCAAGTAAAATGAGTATTCATTTTAACCTTTAATTCAGCTCCAACTAAATCATGGCTCATTCAATTTCTACTGTCATTCCATAAATATTTCATATGACTAAAGATTGTTTCACAAAATGCATTTACAGCAGGAATAGAAAATACGAATTGAACAAGCTTTTACAAGTTAGGAACATTTCACCATCAAATAAATAGGTCCACAAATGATCAACTCTAACTGGATGATTTTCTTTTTGATTTTTATGACATTTAGCATTACGTTCATCATCATTACATTCATCAGATAAACGTTGAGCATCCCCAGGTCGATCAAAACGGACCACCGTAAACCGGCGTAACATTACCGTAATCGGTCGTTTTTGCATCGGATTCCGTCGTAAAACGGCCGTTTTAAGCCGTATTAAGGCGCTTTAGCAGGGGCAGTATTACGGCCATATACGGACACCGTATATCAGCCATAAAACCTCGTAAAGCCGGCGTAACATTATCGTATTCTATAGAACATACGGCCGTATTTGTATCGTATAAGACCGTTTACTGATCGTTTTCTTCGACCGGGGTCGCTATAATTCACTTGTGCTGCAGCTGATTTTGACACACCTAAATTTAACGAGAGAAATGATTGTATTTGCTTATTAATTCCGCCGTATTTTTCTTTCAATTTGATATATTTCGATTTTATCTTATTAACATCATTATACAAACAATCAAGATTTAACATTTCATCATTGACATAACTCGAACAGTGTTGAATATTTTTCCATTCGATTTTCTCGATATTTATTTCGTTAAAAATAGAAATCGATTCGAAACGATGCATTCTTATTTGAATATTTTTCAATATAAGCAATATATGAACGAATAAAAGATATGGAAGATTTTTTTAAATCATCGACTTGGATCGAATTTTGAATATTTTTCAATAATTAACCAACTTTACAACCAAAAACGTCATCCTGAAGACAGTTATTTAGTTTACGAATTAAACTTGTAATGATATTATGTAAATTAACACCACCTATATATTCACTTTGTAATGATAAATTAGCAGCTTGTACTTCTGGTAGAATGTTCGCTAAAAAGTACAATGAACATTCACCTATCAAGAAAGCGATAACTTAACACGTTGGTTGCCATTGCCATAAAGCACTGGACGACAGAAATGAATTACTAAGTAATTCAAAGATATGAATTACGAAATAATTCCAATTCTCTTACTGTCTTTCAAGTGACTCAGAAGGTACTACCAGGTATCATCATAGTTTTAAAAATCCTCTTTTGTATGCGGTCATATTTTCAAATATTTTTAAGTGTAACACGTTTTTCTTTCTACTATCAAGTGGTCGAAGTCACGATAACTTTTCTGATCGAATATTCGGGGATATGCAAATGAAAAGAAATATAATAATGTCACAGAATGTGATATTAGCAATAAAATAGCAGAGTAGCTTTTAGAGAACTTTCTTATTTTTTTTATTAAATATTCAAAATTGGTGTTGCAACAAATATCACACAGCATATCATATACAATGTACTCTATACAATATGCTATACACAATAAAAATATCTCTTTGTCCTTTTTCCTGAATCAATCATTCGTTTCTACATTGTGTTCTTGTTCATCATATTCTTGTTCAACAGATTGTTCTTCACATTATTTTTTGGTTAAATCTTCACGCTTTTCATTAAGATCGAACTGAACACTCTCAAATATGCAACCACTAATAAAATGTGGCTTAATTTTGTCGGCAAAATAATAATGACCGAGTCGAACAGCATTTTGTTTAATGCCGGTAGTGTGACAATTCTTTAAATGGAAAAGCAGTAATGAAAATAAAGTGGATGTTGGATAGTTAAAACCCTTTAAAGAACATCGAAATTTTGTCAAAAAGGAGAAGAATTGTTCACAAACAGATGTATTAATACCCTTAAACTTCGTACCATATCTGTCATCATCTGGATTCACCATTTTGCGACACATAGTTCTGGTGTGACCTTTTCTGTGAAAACGGTCTAGTACAAGTAATAAGTTGTATAATTTGTTGGTAAATTCATTCTGTGCTAAATATTTCGTGTCGTACACTTTGTTCCAGTTCAAACGAAGTTCACAAGCATTATTGTAAAATAAGACATCGGGAAGATTTGCACCAAATTTTAACATAGTCAATAAATGATCCTATAATAGAAAAAGGTAGGTAAATAGTACGAAAACTTTCAGCAATTTTTACTGTAACTCGACGCCATCGTTCTGATTTGATGGATTCAGTAAAGCCGACGACTATACATTGCAAGACAAGAATGTTACAAGTACACCAAATGATCGATTCTTCTGATCTGTTCTGATGTCACTTCGATATACGTTACACATATCTTTGTTGTTCAACTCAGCTATGACTTGTTGATCAATTTTATTTGTTTCTTCATATTGATTTGTATGACTTTATATTCATTGTGTAGTTATTTTCGCTGCTGTTAAAAACAAATGATTTTGAAAAGCTCTTGTCTTTTCGATTTCGATGAGAGTCTGAGTACTAAGATAGTGGACGGTATGTTGTATAACTCAATAGATGGCAACCAGAATAGTAGTGATAGAGCCGCGAGAAGATAAGTTAAACAGATTGAGATCGTCAGTGCTTTTGCAGTTGAGAGAGTTGCGAAAGCAGAGATTTATACATGAGCCTTGTATTGAATAGTGGTGCAAACTGCTTTAGTAGTAGAGTATACTATTCAGCGAAACCTAAAAGAGTTTTGAATTCGTTTCAAAAATCGGAACCTTTTTGGGTTTCGCATGGCACTTTTTTTCTCAGTGTAGATAGCGTCAAATTCACGCTTGACACTGGAGTACACCGTCATTAGCATTGAGAGCGGCGTACAATTGTTTAATATTTTCAGAGTTGTTCAGAAGTGTCAAACTTGAAACTTGAATTCAGTTGAAAATTAAAATTTTCAATTTTCAACTGAATTCCAGTTTCAAGTTTGACATATATGCAGTTGTTCTGACTGTTTTTAGAGTGGAGACTATATTTCCACAGCGTTTATTATTATTAGCTTGACGTTTTTAAATAAAAATTGATTTGAGGACTACTAACTTTTTATTTTAGTGAAAGCGAACAACATGTTTTACCAGAAAATAGATTGTTCTTTAAAAACTCAAGTAATGTTAATAGTAAAAACAAGATTAAATTTTAATATCAATACCGGGCTCCAATTCATAGTTTATCTGATAAGATTTCTCACTAAGCTTTTGTCTTTCGAAAAATCTTCACCATATCGTCTTTTATGGCGAGTATAATTTTGTGTTGTTCTGGTAATGTTTTTTTTGCAATATCAAGAGCTTCCACAATCTCCTTTTGAGCATTCATAAACTGCTCTTGGCCGAGGTAGATGCGAGCCATGCACTGGTGCGTCTTTGATAGCGATACATGATACGGTGGCAATGAACTTCTTTCAATCGCTAAGGCCGCCTGACAATGCTGCAGTGCTTCTGTAAAACGGCCTTGAGAACAATAAACACCACTTATAGAACGGTGCGTAATAGCTATTGAAGGATGTTTCTGTGGTAGTATTGACATTTTTTTATCTAAAGATTTTTTGAAATTCTTTTGCGCGTCCTTGTAATTCTGTTTCTCGTTGTACACCATTCCGATGTTTTGATAGCGTATAGCTTGATTGTATAGAGCAGGTGCAGTTGATTTCATATCAATTTCTAGAGCTTTCCGGTAGTATTCGTCAGCTTTATCGAAATCTTCCGAGTCAAAGTAAAATTCACCAATGTTATTTAAAATAGGGGCCAGCTGTGGATCTTGCAGTGGAAATCGCTCTTGGCCGATTCTCAGTGCTTTTTTGTAAAACTGCAATCCTTTCTCTTTAAAACCATTTTGACTGGCGATAAATCCTAGATCGTTATAAATCCAGGCTATTATGCGCGGATCATGGTTTGCATACGCTTCTCGAAGTACAATTTTGTAGAATCGCTCACTTTGATTCAAATCCCCCATTTCGATTAGTAATCTACCAAAATTGATTAAATGATTGGTTCCTCCTATTTCCTGTCTCATATATTCTCTCACATCCTTTAAATCTTTATCCTCATCGTTAGTCAATAGTAGACAGAATTCTTGTATGCGGTTAGATTGATTATACCGCTGAATTGATAGGATACGAAAAATGGCACCCATAGAAAATAGAAATTCTTGCTCAATATCACCAAAACCGCTGACTGCGATTATATTCGAAAATGCCGTGTTGCGAACACCAGGATTAACTATAATGTGGAGTAAAACTGGCACAATGCTGTCATTTCGGTCTTGACTATTAGCGTATAGCAGTGCTACCCTGTGATCCTCGCTACATGATAACAGACTGTTGAATGAAATTAATCCTCCTACGTTGCGCGAGTGCTTTTGAAAATCATGCGTTGACATACATTGACCACGATAAACTTCGAAGTTTGATGTATAATTTGACTGCCGACATAAATAATCCAGCTGATGATGAATATCAGCAATAAAACAACGCATTTTATGCAAAGTACTAATATCTTGTATTCGTAGAGCTTTGTTTAGTGTCGTGTAAATGAAACTTTCTTTAGTGTACCACAGTATAGCATCTTCGGGACGATAATCACGCTCAAATTCTTCAACTTTTCGTAATCCATTTGTATTATCATGGAAATATGCACGAAATAGATTAATTAATTCGGCTCTGGCATTTTCTCCGTGTGCCATACTGATGAGAATGTCTTTTATTAATTGAAAATACATAACACTTGCTTCTAGTTTGTCTAATTGGTATGAAAATCCGGCCACGCCGGAACTGCGTCTAGGAATTGATACCATTTCTATGGATTCACGTGCATATGGAGCTATTCAAGAAACACGTTATATCAGAAGAGGCTGATGTTGATAACATTGCATGCGCCTATTTTCACTTTATGTTTATTTGAGGTGTTTTTGTGTTAGAAAAACAGAAGCTTGGAACTACCGAAAACTCGATATCATGATTTTTTGAACGGCCTCAATTGCGCCTTTCTCTTTCTTATTGCATGAGAAATTTGGTCAATATCTATGAAATAGCCCGCAAGTTTTCTATATTCTGACAGTGCAAAATCGTGTATCATATACATATTGTAAATATCTTGATTGTAGCACAGAATATAAACTGAATGCACTTGCTCAAAAGACTCAAGTATTAGAGCGAGTTGATTGAAATAATTTTCCGATACAATTAGGAAAATCTTATCTGTATCAATTTCTGAAATTTCATCAACACATTGGTCAACATCGTAAAATACTTCTAGATAATTGACTTGCGCACGCACAACATCTCTCGATCGCTTATCCACGAACTGATCGTCGAGCCAAATAACAACGAAATTCTCCAAATTAAGATGCTTTTCTGCAATCGACGATTCTTCAATCGGATCGTGATCAAAATATGTAATATCGTCTAATTTCCAAACTAGACTTATATCTTCTGTAAATGAATTTTTTCTGTTTGTATCCTTACTCATTGAAGGGTCGTCTGTAAATGATTTTTTTCTGTTTGTATCCTTAATCATTGAAGGGTCTTCTGCAAGTGATTTTTTTCTGTTTGTGTCGTTACTCATTGAAGGGTCTTTTGTTTCGACTTTATTCGATGGTATTGTTGCGCTCGACACTGTTCTAAGATTGTGATGCAATAAGCCAACACTCGTATCAAATGTTGGCATAGTCAAGTCTGAGCGTAATTTGCATCTTGTTGGGGTGTGCGAATTTTTGGTTTGTGATGGTCGAAGCTTTGAACAGCTGTAGCATTTGCCCATCTAAAGAGGCAGTAAATGCGAATCATGAGCATTACTGCCTAATCCATGTTACTAGCTTTTCTAACATCATTACTAGACCTACGACAGTTCCATATTAGTTCCGATCTTTGGAACTGTGTCACAAGTTCTTTGATCGGAACTGAACTGTTCGAACAGTTCCTCGGTATGAACTGAACTGTTCGAACAGTTCTTTGATCGGAACTGATCTGTGTCATACAGTTCTTTGATCGGAACTGAACTGTTCGAACAGTTCTTTGGTCGGAACTGATCTGTGTCATACAGTTCTTTGATGGGAACAGATCATCAGATCTGAACTAAAACGGAACTGTCACACCCGTAGTCCGTTAAAAAGTTTATTTTCAAACAATATGCGCATTACTTGGAAACACACTACATCCTAGATTCATGATAGA